CAGGTCTTCAACCCTCTTGACCGCCACCTCCAGAAACCTTCGAAGCATCACAATCCTCCTCGATTGCTTCACTACCCGGGACATCTTCATCCATCTCTTTGCCATCACCTCCCGGGACCACATCAACTGGGGCTAAATCAGGACCCATCAAACCTAAATTAGAACCGTACTCTCCATAAAAGGATGGATTAAACGTGTTAACCTCGAAAGTACTTGAGCTCTCTGAGAGTTGAGGAAGAGGAAGCTTGCTGACTAAGAAGTCAGAGACCTGAGCTCTCTCGTAAGCAGCAATGGCTTCCGGCATCAAAGACATCAAACGATTGTACTCCTCCTCAGCGTTTTGAATCTCGTTTGATAGCAAATCCTTCAAGAGCTCCGTATTAGCTTGAAGCTCCTGAGCGTAGATCTGAAGATCAGCCTCATCCTTCTTCTTGGAGAACTTCTCTTTAACAGAGACAAGGATCTTATTATAGGCATCGATGACCTCCTTCTTTCCCCTTCTAACAGCAAATTTAACTTCAGACTCCTTGTTCTTCTGGCTGACCTGAGACGATGCAATCAAGTCTTGAACATGTTGCTCAGCAACCTTTAGAGCACTATCTAGCTCATAAATCCTCCTACTTTTCACCCTAACATCAATTTCCAAGCTCTCAATCTTCCCTTGCTGAGTGTTAGACTTCAAACCGAGCCTCTCAACTTAAGATCGAAGTGTCGAAACCTGAGTTCTGGCTTGGTCACGCTCAATCTTGGTAGCCTTAACCATCTCGGTAACCTAGGTTAACTCCTCAGCGTTAGGCGCGTTGTTCACTGTTTCCTCAAACTTTAGCTGAGCCCTGTTAACAGCTCCAGCCAACTATAGAGAAATGAATAACATAAATAAATATCTCTCAAAAAAAAAACAACAAAAGGGGAGCAAAGATCCGTACTTGACCCAAGTAGTGAGCAATCTCGATAAATTCGTCCTTGTTGGTCAGATTGTTAACAAGGGGAAGAGAACACCCTTGTTCGCTTCATGTGTCTCATCAGCGTAGCCAAACCCCACGGATCATCAAGAATCGACCCAGGCTTCGAGTGAGCGAAATTCCACCCAACTGTACCTCCCCTCGAAGACGACGAAGAAGACCTAGAAGGTCTATCGCCTTGATCGATTCGTGATCTCTTGCTCCTGGGGAGTTCAGTCTCGGAAGGATCCTTGATCACCTGAGGATCGTCTCCCGTGACCTGAACATCAGAATAAGGAGCTATCTCCTGAGCTCCCTGTTCATTGACCGGGTTAGCATCCTTAGCTGGAACAGAAGCTCCGTCATCAAGAACCTCTTTCACAGAGCTAAGGAAGGATCCTCCTTGATTCTTCTCGCTTCCACGAGAAGTGCTGGCTGCTTTCGCTGGCCTACCCCTGGATCGGAACGATGGTTGAAGAGGCATCTTGGTCGATTGGGTTCTTTCGGTTTCAGAAGTACTAGCTCCCGTTGAAATTGTTACTACTGTGTCACCTTCGGAAACTACATCAACAAATTCTTTTAGAACTCAGAACTCATAAAAACAAGTTTACTCGTATGGAAATAAATGAATACGTAATCTTCCAACTCTGCGATCAGGATTGGAGTCAAAAAGGAAGCGTTGTATCGATCTGGAAATCTGGCTGCACCTACTCGAGAAGTGGTATAAGAGGTCCAGGTACAAGGAGTTTGTTGTAGCTTTCGAAAGAGAGCCCTGGTAAGCTTGCCAGTAAGTACAGGAGGATCCTCAATATCTGCAAACAATACCAGGCAATCATTAGGTTGCTGCAAATCAAAATGTATAAATACAATCCTAATAATTCTAAGGGACCGTCGAAGGATCAATCCTTACGAAAAAGTACTTCTTTCGCCAGTCGTCGTCACTACTGGAAAACTTAAAAATTCCCAACCCAGGACGACTCGAGAGATAGTAGGTTCCACTACCACCATCCTTCGAAGCACTCTCCTTTATCGAGAAAAGACTCATCAAGTCATTAATCCCGACAGCGACCCCTTCTTCCTTAGACCTAGTGATAAAACCGTTTATCACTCGAATAACAGATGGGCAGAGCTGGGAAAGGGCTAGTTGGTAATGATCCAGGAGGTCTAATAACAGATCAGGGAGGGGAAAACTAAGATGACTCTTAGAGATATACTTCTCGTGAACACAAAACCAGCCTTCTGGAGCCATTTCGGGGGTTTCATGGCCTTCACAAGCCCTGGCTAACTCCTTACGGCCTAGAGCTTGGACCATGAGATTGACGATTTCCTGGCCCTTTAACGCAGAAGGTGGATGAGACCCGGAGGGAAAGCTCTCCTTAGAGCCACCGGTTCTCTTTGTTCTCTTGGAAACTCTCTGGGCTATTGACTCCTTAGTTTTCTTCTTCTTCTCAGCCTTCATCACCGATTCACCAACCTCCTTTTTCACCTTCATGATCCGAGCTCCAGCAGCAGAGATTCCGGTCTCTCCAGAGCCTTCTCTCGGTCCAGTCATAACAGGGCACGAAGAAAAGAGATCGAGAAAAATAAAAAAATTGAACTGATAAACTCGAATTCGCGGAGTAAAACTTTAGAGAGAATCTACTCGAACCTCGTTTTGAACTTGATAGAAAAAGGGTGTAAAAAAAACAGTAAAATAAAAAGAACCAGAAGAAGTTACCTGGGGAAACTGAATCGAGACGTGGAGAGAGTGGGGAAGTTGGAGTTAATGTAAACAGCTTTATATCTCGTCGAGCCTCGAAAATCGGAGAATAATTATTTCAAAACTCTTTTAATCTGAGTCGTTGATTTCGTTAAAGTTCAATCATGACCGTCGGATCAAGTAGAAGATATCCTCGAGAGAAGATCACGAGTAATCATTATCTCAACGAAAGGTTAAGATTCGGCGGCTAGGTTTAGCTCCCGAGAAAAGTATCTTTTCTCGAAAGCTGGGGGCAACTGTTGGGCCCAAATATGGTCCGTTAGCTGAATTTAGCGGATCAGTTAAACCAAGTCTAATAATGGGCCGCGCGTGGGTTATCATTTCAAAGGAGAATGGGGCTCACCTAAGGACGGAGGCTACTTCCAAGGATTTCGATAAAAGAGGTCACGAGAAAGAGGTCACGAAGAAGAGGTCCGGCTTCTCTTGCATGAACCTAATAAAACAGCCTAGGATACGAAGATAGAGGCGTATGATTCAGTCAAAAGGAAGCTGTTGCAAATCCCTCAGTTTACGGAGGCAATCTCGGAGACTAATCAGGAGAGGTTAAACGTGACCTGAGGCTATTTAAAGAAAGAAGAAATGAAGAGAAAGGGGATTCACACTCTTTAAATTTTCACATACATTATCATTCACGAAGGACTCAAGTGACTTCTTTGTATTCGTTTTAATCATTTTTGTAACTCTTGTTCATCAAATACAATCACATTCATTCTTTAAGTTCTAACATGATTTAGCCCACGATTGTCTTTTCCCCAATCTAAACCTAACCTAAACTAGAGAGTGAGTTTTACCCCTCACAATCGTCTATGTCCAGAATGATGGGAATATGCGATTTTATGTTTGTAACACCATAAGCGCGTTCGAGATTCGCTAGTTGAGCAGCCATTATCACAAACAAGAAAAGAGATTAAGAGAGAAAGAGAAGACAGAAGATGAGAAAGAGAGAACATGAACTTTGGTTCAGGAACTTGAACCCTTTGATACTATGAAAGTGGAAGAATTTCCCTTGAATTGATTCACAAGTTTACATCTGTATATATTTACAATCTTGTTACAGAAGGTGTGGTAACTGAATCATAACCAGAATATGGAATAGCCATCTGAAAAGATTGATCCTTCAAACCGAAGCTCTGGCAAATCTATCGAATGAAGACTTATTTTAATAGAAGAGAATTAAGAACATGTCTTTCAAAGAAGATAAATTAAAACATGAGATCAGAGTTTAGATTAAATTTGCGAAAGAGACAAACCAACAAGTATACAGATATGAATCAGAGATAAAATAAGAAACTTGATGAATCGCTCCAATTCAGTTTGATTCACTGCAAAATGTCACCGTGCGAAAACTAAAGTCGCTTATACAAAAGAAAACTATTGATCAGATGATTGAAAATATGCTAAACCAAAAAAAAACAAATAGTATAATATCTCCTCTTTCTAAAAGATGAAAATGTGATAAGAAGGACAAAAAAAAATTTCTCTCCCACTATAGAAGAGAGAAATACGAGTTTTCTCTTAGGTCCACCAATCAGTATTATTTAGTTTTTTTTTCTTAAGTTCACCAACCAATATTATTTAAAATAATAAGAATTTATGAAGTTATATTATATTTTCAAAACAAATAAAAAATAGTAGTAATACCAAAAAAAATTAATGTTTTCAGCAAAAAAAACCCTAAATCTTAGACACTAAATTCAAAATCTTTGGATTAGCTCTAAATTTTTGGATAAATCATTAACACTAAATCCTAAACATTAAATTCTAAACCTTTAATCCTAAAACCCTTAAATCTAAACCCTAAATTTAAAGATTTAGAATTTTGTATTTTGCTGAAAGTTTTAATAATATTAAAAAATTGGTAATTATTATTATTTTGAAAAGATAATATAACTTCATAACTTTTTTGAAGATATTAAATTTAAATTAATTAAATATTATTGATTGGTGAACCTAAGAAATTTTTTTTTCTGGTTAATTATGATATTACAAATTATGAGAAATATTATATATATGATATACATAGATGATAATATAACCGAAAATTTTATGTCTTATACGAATTCACGTCTGACTGTATTATCCTGAGTCGTTTGAGATCCAATACTAACGGTAGTTCTAAGAAAAAATTTAGAGAGACTATCTATTATTATATCTAGATTTAAAAATGTCGAAACTGGAAACGAATAAATGCAAATCCACAAGAAAATATCCGACCGATTCCACCCGTAGCCAGTAAGTTGAAATGACAGAAGCGTGTATAAAAGGAAGACTTGCACTAGTGTTAAGGGTTGCGTCTAGTACTTTGGTGTGTGTCGGCTGGGCTGCTTCTCTGCTCAGATTTGTTCTTCCTCCTCTGTCTCTGTCTCCACAGGTCTCTTTTCTCTCTATTTCTCCTCTCAGTACAGAACTCTCTCTCTATGTACTTCTGTCTCCACTTGATTGTCTGGTTCCGATAGATCTTCATTGAACAAAATAGAATCTCTACACTTCATCTCTGTTTCCCAGTTACTGATCTGGTTGTTAACTGTGACTGTTATTAATCTAATGCATAAATATTTAAATCTTTAATTAACTCTTGGCAGGCTTGTAAGACATGGAGTCGTTTTTGTTTACATCCGAGTCTGTGAACGAGGGGCACCCAGACAAGCTCTGTGACCAAGTCTCCGACGCTGTCCTGGACGCTTGCCTCGAACAAGACCCTGACAGCAAAGTCGCATGCGAGACTTGCACCAAGACCAACATGGTCATGGTTTTTGGTGAAATCACCACTAAGGCCAAAGTTGACTACGAGAAGATTGTCCGTGACACTTGTCGCGCCATCGGCTTCGTCTCAGCTGACGTCGGTCTCGACGCTGACAACTGCAAAGTACTGGTCAACATCGAGGAGCAGAGTCCTGACATTGCTCAGGGTGTTCATGGTCATTTCACCAAACGCCCCGAGGAGATTGGAGCTGGTGATCAAGGTCACATGTTTGGGTACGCCACGGATGAGACTCCTGAGCTTATGCCGTTGAGTCATGTCTTGGCTACGAAGCTTGGTGCGCGTCTCACTGAGGTTAGGAAGAACGGGACTTGCCCTTGGGTGAGGCCTGACGGGAAGACACAAGTCACTGTTGAGTATTACAATGACAACGGTGCTATGGTTCCTGTCCGTGTGCACACTGTTCTTATCTCCACTCAACACGATGAAACTGTCACCAACGATGAGATCGCGCGTGACCTCAAAGAGCATGTGATTAAGCCGGTGATCCCCGAGAAGTACCTAGACGAGAAAACCATCTTCCACCTAAACCCATCTGGCAGATTTGTCATTGGTGGACCACATGGTGACGCTGGTCTGACCGGACGCAAGATCATCATCGACACGTACGGTGGTTGGGGAGCTCACGGTGGCGGTGCGTTCTCAGGCAAAGACCCATCGAAAGTGGATAGAAGCGGCGCGTATATAGCTAGACAGGCAGCTAAGAGCATTGTAGCCAGTGATCTAGCACGCAGGGCTCTAGTTCAGGTCTCTTACGCCATTGGTGTCCCTGAGCCATTGTCTGTTTTCGTTGATACGTATGGAACAGGGAAGATTCCAGACAAGGAGATTCTCAAGATTGTGAAGGAGAATTTCGATTTCAGGCCAGGCATGATGACAATTAACCTTGACCTCACGAGAGGTGGCAATGGGAGGTTCTTGAAGACTGCTGCTTATGGACACTTTGGCAGGGAGGATCCTGACTTTACCTGGGAGGTTGTTAAACCGCTCAAGGCAGACAAGGCTTAAAGAAGAGTCTGCTTATCGTTTTAAACTGTTTTAAATCGCTTGTGTGGTTTTCAGTATTGATCTGGTTTGGTTTGTTATTTTATTAATGTGATGTTATGTATTTTTGGATATGAATCATATGATATTATTTTGTTTCTGTCTAAAAAAGTTTCAAAAGCATCATGTAATCAAAGTTTGTGTAGTTATTTTCACCACTAACCCCAAAAAGAAAAGAAAAATGATTAGTACAACATCATCTCCATTGTATCATTACAAAGAAAAATTATGCCAACAAAAATATATTATCAGACACAGAATCTTCATGTTCCAAAGAGAAAAGGAGAGAATTTTACAAAAGAGCAATCTTCTAAACACATGTTCTATTCTTATTCTCATAGTTACATATTGAAAGCACACCTTTATATAAAAAGTAATAACAGTTATATTTATATCTTACAAAATACTTCTTCAACGTAGGCTTACACTCATCTTGTTCCATAGTCCAACAACTCCCACCTGAACGGTTGAAACACATAGAGCACTTCTGGGCAACTCTTGAAGAGTAGTGCCACACAGACGCAAACCGCAGCAATCGCCACCATTGACAACATAGCTGGTCTGTACGCTACAGACCGGCGAGCTGTCCCATACACCAGTTTATGGTCACATAGCTTGCACTGAAGCTGGTGGTTAGTATGCGTGATTTCCAAAGCTGATGTCCTCAGACCTGACTTTGGTTCTTTCTGCTCTCTGTCCGAGAAAGAGACAGGGATGTTGACCACAACATGGTCTTCAGTTGTTGATTTTTTATTGATCTTGCGTTGAATCAAGTGGATGTATGAGAAGTGACCGCGTAAGCGTGCATAGTCTTCTGGTGTGAAGCCTGTGCTGTCCCTAGATGCTCTCCACGCTTCAATCCCCACCTGAACCAGATGCAAACAAGATTAGTTTTTATGTTCTGAAATTTTCAAATTCATAGGGAAAAATATCAAAATCACCATTGCAGGATCTTCTGTTAGAGCGTCCAACACATCTTCTGAACCATCTTTACCAGCTGCAATGTGAAGAGGTGTTAAACCAGCTGGACCAGCAGCATCTGGTCTAAACAAGCTGTGTATTCTTTGCTGCTTGGGAACGTATCTCAAGAGCATTTCAACCATAGGCTTAGAGTTTTTCCTGACGGCTCTGTGAAGAAGGCACAGTTCTGATAGCTCGACATCAGAGGAAGAATCACCAACAGCACCTTCAAAGAACATGTTCAATAGCTTTCTGATCACAGCACACCACTCTCGGTCCATTGAGAACTCAATGAGCCACTTGAATCTTGTTAATGGGAAAACGTCTGGATTTGGATCTGATTCCCCGAGCTTACTTCTGTGAAGTAGCCAACCGATTTCATGAATGAATTCCATAGCTTGCTTAGCGGAATCAGTTTCAGTGAACTCTAAGGTGGTTTCGAGTCTACGGATTTCAGAACAAACATCATCTTCTTCAACCACTATGAAAGGGAAGAAACTGCTGCTGAGTCCTTGGTCTTCAATCTGTAATAGTCATCAAGCAAGCTTGAGCCAAAATGAATAAAACAGGTGACAGTCTATTGATGATCAGGCCAGAGATAGAAAGTACTCTCACCTCCATGAATCCTCGACCGCTTGTTATAGGCAAATCACAAGAAAAATTGACACACTCAACAATCTCATTATTCTCATCATTCTCTTTCGTTGAATCATCTCCTGTTTCCTGAATCAAGTATTTTCCTTCTACAGCACAAAGTAACCTGAAAATAATAAAGGTTGGGTAAATACTATAAGATTTCAAAAGGAAGAATAGGAAGGCCAAGACTTCAAAGGAGACAGAACCTTGTGCCAGGTCGACGGAGATTGATGCCTTTTACAGTAAACTGAGCCTTCCCTGTTGCAGCTACAGCGAGTGGTCTGACACTAATAATGTGGCTGTAATCACGACTTCTTAGCGGTAAGGAAGTGTCAACAACAACCTGACCTGCAACCCACAAAGCTATCGTAAATACTTATAGCTCCAGAGGAATCTTCAACTGAAACAAAGTAATCTCGAAACTAACCGTCAAATACAAATGCAAGTTGGTTTTGCACCCTAACATAAATCCATCCACTTGTCCATAAAGGATCATCTGAGAGTTCTAGAAGCTTCCTTAAGCTAAAGCCCAGGTCATCAGAAAGCTGCAAAGTAAAAACAAAAGAGAATGCAAGTTCATCAGTCTGGAACTTAACAAGATGAAATGTCAAAGAGTAGTGATAGAAATTAGAAAGTAAGCTTACTTCTTCCCAAGCAGTTTCAGCTTGACGAAGATAGATGGTTAATATGATACAACCAGGCCTAATGTAGCTTTCAATGTCAGTTGGACTATGCGATAACCAGTCAAGAATCTGAATATCAAGAGATTTACACATCAATATAACAAGTTCCAAACATCTCAAAGTAAGGATCTGAGAAGTGCTCAAGCACAACAGTACCTGTCCACGTAAGATAACAGGGAAATCATTTGGCTCTTTCCCAAATAGTTTGAACACAATCCGACCTGTGCGCATCTGAAGATGGAGTCAGAAAAAAACAGCGTTAAAATCAGAGAGAAAATGGAACCAGACAATAGTGGATGATGTAAGAGACTTCTAGACCTGAGCATCTTCACTGGAACTTGATGGAGACTGGTCAGATGCTGAATCTGAGTTCCTACCTGTCTGAGGTGGACTAGACTGATGAATCCACGAAGGATAATCAAGAGAACTGGTTGCAGGAATCGTCGTAGGAGGAGATCTTTCGATATCTGTACCTTCATCTGAGTCTATATAGATATCATTCAAATCAAAATCATTTACTTTGACTTGTTTCTCTGATCTGATCTCGGTAGCTGTCCCATTAGCATACAATTCCTGCGGAGGAATCTGTGGAGCTTGCTTTAAGTCCTCTTGAGGAGCTTGCTCAATTGCAAGCAAACCCGAGCTTCCAATAGCTTGTGATCCTCCTTGCATGAGAAGTTCAACCAAGCTTTTCCCTAGTTGTTCACCAGCATGGCTGACAAGGCTCTTCAGAAGATGAGTCATCAGATCTTGATCACCGGGATGGTCTGATTGATTGGCTGCAACACAATACAGCACAAAATTAACTAACACAAACTTCATGAAATGCTTGATGAGAGATTAAAGTGAGATTACAGTGCATATTGGAGAGTATCTTCAAGAGAGTAACCAACAGATAATTGCTTGATTGATTATCATCACTAAGAGGATTCCCGTTAGTGCCAGGTTCAGGATTTGTTTTCCTCCTACGTTTATTATGACCAGCCAAACGTCTACGACAGCTTCTCTTTCCTTCATCAAACTCCTCAAGAACATGGAACCTAAAAGATAGAAACAATAATCAACTCACTTCATCAGGTTGGTTTTAGAGAGGCTTAGAGAAAGGAAGCATACCTACTACATTGCTGACAAAACCGCTGCATAATACCACCGACAAGTGCACTAGTAGCCTTAGAATGCATCTCACACACCTTATGACGTCTATGATAATCCTTAACTTTGCTAAGATCAGCTTCACAGTTCTCCACCTGACACACCGAGCGATTAGCCACACCTCCAAACTTCGTCTTCTTAGCCGCAGAGGTCCCTTCTCTTTCACCATTAAGATCAAAACCATTGTCCCCTAACTTCAAACTAAGGCCTTCCCCTGTTGCAGCAGCTCTTCTTTTCTTCTCAACTTCTCTTGTATTATTATTATTAATCCCTTCATCAGAGCAGGAGGAAGAGCTATTGGATGGGAAAAACTGACGCCCCATGGTTTGGCTACCACCAGGATTCAACTGTGTAGCTACAAAGAGATCACCATCCCATTTCCAATCATTCAAATCCCACTCCACACTCCTTTTGCCAACAGCTCTAAACCCATACAACTGTTGACCCTCACCTTCAATTCTAGCCTCCATCTCAGACAACTTTGATCCCAAAATCAAACAGAGACACACAACAAAACCTAATTAAATAAAAACAGAAACTTTAAGGCTTCTTCTTCTTAATCAAACTCAATTCTTCCCCCATAGATCTAAGAAGAAACACACTTTGAGAGATCCATGGTTCCAATTAACACCAACCCACATGCCCAGAATCCAATTCACAAATAAATCAAAGACCTTTCAACACTAAACAATCTAACACAAAGAAACGTAACAGCTGGAGACACCTTTGAACATCCACTGGTGATGGAGATGCGATGATGAGATATGCGTTTGTGGCGTGAAGGAGAGAATGAGAGTATGTATGGTAATGGTTATGGCCAGTACAAAAGGTTAGGGGAGAGAAAGAAGGTTGGAGAGAGAAACTTAATTAGTACAGAGCAAAAATAATTTTAATTTTTTTTAGGAAATACAAAATAGTGGTGGGACCACTTGGACACTTATTTTGAAAAATCTTTATAAGATAAAAAAAAAGACATACGATTAATTCTTTTGTGACTTTTGTCTACCTCTTTGCTTTTGCCATGTGAACCAGTGTACTTATGGAGGTCAATAATCAGCTGCTTCGCCGAGCAGGGAGCAATGTGGTGGAACTTACGGTTACTGTTGTCTGTGGGGCGGTGTACGATAAAGCTTTTATGTTTCGGGGCAGAGATCAAGTGTTTCAGCGACTAGTGAAACAACCGTTGTAATCGAAAGTGTCGGTGTGCGTGTCTAAGTGTACACGGTTTGACTTTGACCGGAAGAAACAAAAAAAACAAAACAAAAAAAAGTTTTCTGTGGCCCCTCTATTGGGTCAACATTCCGTCTCCATGTGGTCATTAGGTCTGGGCTTTATTGTCCCACTTACAAACCGAGTCCGTTTTCTATGAAGGTCGCCGATAAGTTGTTAATTTGGAGTTTGGGTCGGTGTGAGTTTTAATTGGAAAAAGCTCACCTACTGTATGTGGCAGGATCGGACGCAGGATTGTATTGGGTATGTGGCACATAACTAACTTCTCGTAACTCATGTTCGGAAACGCGGTAGGCGCTAGTCGGGCGGCCGGTCCACGCCTAACGAGTTAGTGAAAAATCGGGAATTAATCGGAGAGTAATCAGGAATTATTAATAGTTTTTATTATAAATATACTTATATATACGAGTTATGTGTATAAATATTAAAATATATATAGAAATGGTATAAGATGATGTGGTGTAGTGGTTTGGGATGATGACATCGCATAAGAAGGTCCTCATTTCGACTCCCGATCAAAGCATATTAAATTTTATGCAAAAAAATATATTAAAAACACGTTAAAGAAGATCCTACATCGGTAAGATTTGTTGAGGCAAGAGTTTGAAGCATTTATAAATAATTAGATGTTAGGCGGATAAAATCGGCTGTAAACCCGATTAATTGGTTTTGTGGTCCAGTTTTCTAGTTGTCCGATTTACTAAGACAATTTGGCCTTAGTTGGGACGGTGCTCTACCGTCGAACGCCTAGTCGGGTACCTACTCAGTTAGGCATCCGAATTTTTGAACAGAACTTGTAACTAATATTGAGTTTAAGTAGATATCTTTATAAGTTTAGTATTATGGGAGTAAAATAATTTAGGGTGGGGGCACATGCCACACCCCCATAAATTTTGGGTCCGCCTCTATATGTGAGAGAAATAAATTGTTATCATTTTAATCCTTTAATCCACAAACTTGTTTATAGTGTACATCTGAAATTGATCCTAAAACTTAAGAGTAGAGAAATTGAGTTGATATTAAACCTCGAAGCTGAAAAATATAGACCTTAAAACTTGTACTATTTGGCTTATATAACTCTGACATATAGGTGAATATATGTGTAATTTCCACATTGTTGTCTTACACGTTCAAGGCTTGAGTCACTGGTCGGAATGAGCTAACCAGAAATGAAGACCTGTATAATAATTTTATAGTTTATATTAAATAATTTTATTTTATATTGTAAACCATCAAATGTATCATCCATATTTCTAGAAGGGCAATTCTCTTAAATAGCCATATTTTAAGTTTTTATTACAAAAATAGACCTCAAAAATTAAAATGATCAAAATAGCACTTTTTATTTTGAAAATTTTAAGTTTTTTTTTATTTTTTATTAAATTCGAAACCCTATCCCAAAACCCCACTCCTTAAATCTAAACAAAAAAATCTAGGATTAGTTAACCCAAGGGTATAAATGTATATTTAATAAAACATTTAAGTGTTATTTTGGTCATTTTAATTGTTAAGGTCTATATTTGTGATAAAAAAAATTTTAGGTCTATTCTAGTCATTTTCTCTTTCTAGAATTTGACTTGTATATCCGTATAAATGTATTTTTATTTTTTATGTATTAAATGTTTATTATAATGTGTAATAAAATTGTTCTATATAATATCTAAAATATATGATGCTATATGTTTTATACTTTTCAACATTATCATACTGAATTTACATTGGATTATTATTTGTATGATACGTAATATATATATATATATTAATCTATATATATATATTAATCTATATATATATATATTAATCTATATATTATATAAATTAATTTTATGTGATTTTTACTTTAGTTATTAATAATCCACATCCTCATATGTTAATTGAGAAGTCGTTTAATTGAATTTTGCTTACTTCTCATTCATAGGTGAAGTCTTGAAAATTTTGTTTTAATTTGATTGCTCGATGATTTTTTAGATCTAAAATAAAAGGAAAGTCTATAACCAATTAATATCACTTGAAAAATAATCTAAAATATTAGAAACAATATTTTATGGCAACTAATTGTAAAAATTATTGAAATAATAATAATGTTTGATTAATTCTTTTTATATTTATATACAAACATTGATTTTTTTATAGAAACCAATATAAATAATTTCATATTCTCATATAGATAATTATATTGATATATAAATTGTTATAATAATTATTAATGTCTTATAGTGGATTTATATGATTTATAATTTTTTTTAATTATAAAAATTATTTATTATGGCTTCCAAAATCACGTTATTGGAATTTTAAAATTATTTATAAGTGAATCTAAAAGAAAATTTTAAATCCTCCTATATATATATTAATTGAGAAGTCATTTAAGTGACTTTTGCTTATGTGTCATTCATAGGTGAAGTCTTGAAAAAATCGCTATAATTTGATTGGTCGAAGATTTTTAATTAGATCTAAATAAAAGATAATAAAATATAATTATATAGCTTTAAAAACAATATTTAAATTTAGTATTATTAATTACTTCCAAACACACATATTATAATAAAATAGGAAATGCCAAAGAATAGAAAAAGTTAGATTTATTAATAACTAGTGGTTTTCCTGTGCTATGCGCCGGATTTTCTAATATTATTTCCTTTTATTATTTAATATGATAATTAAAATATATAATTTAATTGTTAAGGCAATTTCGTCGAAATTCAAAATAAAATAAAAGAAGAAAATAGACCATATTTTTGTCGGAGAAAATTCTTCGCAGAGATACTGTAAAGAAAAAGTTCAAAACATCTTTCATTTAGTGATTGGTTATGTTCCCTTTAATTTTTTCAATTTAATTAAACAATAAAATTATTTTACACATTTATTATATTTGGTTTGCTTATACAAATTTAGAACTTATAGTTTTATAAATTTACAACTTTTTTCCTATATTTTAGAAACAAAATATTTATCAAATATATATTAATATGATTATATTCTATGCATAACTGATTTTGAGAGAATTGTAAATGAATATAAGATTAAATATATAAATGAAAATTTTATCAACTATATACAGAAGAATGTTCTTTTATCTTTTTGTATTAATACATGTTATTTTTGAAAGACTTTATAATAATCAGATATTATGTACTTATATTTTGAAAACAAATAGACATGGACACTCGATATTTATATTTCATTTAACGATTATTATTTCAAAATCCGAGAGTGAAACTTGTTCTGTAAACTAAATCTCTAGTGGAGCAGAAGCCAAGTGAATATTATATATTACTAAACTAAATATAATCACATATATGTAAATGAGATATTGTATTTCAGTTAGCAAGAGGAATGTCACTGATTAAAATATGAAGCATTTTGTTTATTCTAGTTAGCAAAATATAGTTTCCACAACACATATATACATACTTGCATATCAAAAGGGTTTCAAAGAACCGTTTCACCTTGGTGTCTGGTCTGCAGCAGGTTCATAAGAAATCCTTCTTTCACATGGTCTCTTAAGACGCTCGGGCTTGAGTTTGGAACCAAAGATAAAAATCATGAAAGTGTTATAAAGAAAGAGAGATGAGGGGAATGATTTCTGTATTATTACTGAATGAATAGAGGTTCCTTTATATAAAGATTACAAGATAGAGATAAATGGAAAACATCCAATTCCTTAAGCAACAAGGAATTGGAAATACATAAGAATGGCAATACATAATGGCCGCCTATGACTAATGGGTATTCGGCCATTGGGCCACTTCTAAGTCTATCTAATGGTTATGGCCCATCCACACAATACTTTATAACACTCCCCCTTGGATGGCCAAACCATATGGGCCTGTACCATGCTTAATGTTGCCTCGTTAAAACCTTCTCTAGGAAAACCAAAAACCCGAGGTGGGAAAAATGGAAACCTCAGACAAGGAAAAAGAGTACAACATATGATACTCCCCCTGATGAATGCATCACTGAAATGTCTGATGCATTCCAATATGGTCGGTAGAAAACTGGTATGTACGGTTGCTGCTGAACCGAACTCGAACTTCTGATATCTTCTGGAAAAACTCATGTGTGAGTACTACTTTGGGCTGAACGTCTTCTATGTCTTCTGGAACTCCATTATGACTTGGTCCAGTCGTGCATCATCATAACTGACCATCCTATGTCCTGGTCGGACCGATCTCCTGGTCGGACAGATGTCCTGGTCGGATGGTACTTGGACCAGTACCCGGATGGACCTTTGATCAACGATCAAGTATTACTCATAAGTCCACTTATGTGCCACGGTTCTTGTAGTCACATGGCCCTTGCCATACCGTGGACACCTTAATGTATATTGAGTCATCTTGCAATGCTCAAAAATCTCATGTCTTAAAACATGTATATGCATGGACGAGATGCAAACCTTTACTCTATACTTTGTCGGATAGGTTTCATCATACTTTGAGCCTTAGGGCACAGTGCCATGAAGCTTTAGTTACACACGTCCATAATGTGTCCCATAAGTGTCTAAGATCATGACTTGATCAATGATCATTCCTGCAATAAGTTTCACAATCTCATCAAACTATGGTTCTACAACCAAGTACACTTATGGACCTTATTCATGGCTACCAATCTTTCTTGTCTTAATGTCACACACATTTAGACCACGTCCAATGCCTTTCCAACATTACTATTCCAGTCTTATGGCTTCCCATGACCTTTCTTATCTTGGCTTAACCAAGTACTGGAATTTCATTCGGTCATGGACCTTGTCC